ACCGACTGAGCTAGCCGGGCTACACCAAAGGAAAAAATGCTTCCGATTTCGGAGCTGCGTGGGCTGAACACTCAGAAGGTCGGAGGCTTTGATTCCTCAGACCCAACACCAAAAGTTTATAGATTAAATTTGGCCACAGTATGTCATTATACTAGTGTGATAAAATGTGTCAGGAGAAGGATTCAATCCCATTCCTCTTTTTGGAGACCAGAATTAACTCTTTAAATCCGATTTCGGGGCTGCATTAACTCTCATGGGATGAACACTCAGAAGGTCAGTGGTTTCCTGGGTTGACTCCTCAGACCCAACACCAAAAGTTTATATACAAAATTATGCAGTATATAGAGTACTTAATTCTGGCGGCCCCTGTGGACAAAAGTGGTAGTGTTTCCACCGCCTCATTTCATTGATTTAAAGGTGAATCTGACCAAATCCGACACAGTGGCTGGCATTAAGAATAAATATATAGAACCAGTCAATCTTCTCGCTGAGGGTCTTTGTTGGTTTGTTTATGTGGGTCATATAGAGGCATCAGAATTAAATTGAGACTGTTTCATAACCAGTTAAAAACTGCTTGTAGTACGTTTAAGTAAGGTTTTAAATGCTGGACTTTTACTTGTAGTGAAATATGCTCACAGTGTGCTACTTTTACTGCAGTTAATGATCTGAATATGTCACTATTAATCCGACTTGAGTCTAGGCTGTTAGAAACATTTTTGAATGAGTTGTTGGACATTTAAGACAATAGTAATGGTGTGGCTGGGCTGTGTGTGTGGTAAAGAACTGGAACAGGATGAGGCCTGGTGTACGGAATAATGTCATTATTGAGGGTGGATAGGAAAATAAACCATTGGTGACAAGATAAGAAGCACAGTTTAGTCTGCGTGTGAAAGGGGAAGATAGAGAGAGTGAAGGAAAGGAGGGGAAGGAGAGGTCAGAGAAAGCAGGGAAATTAAACAAAAGGAAAGATGTTTCAAAGTCCATCTTTATCATTTATGCTCAGTGGTCTAATCACAAATCAGTCCTTGCCACAAAATGTTTATTTTTTGTGTGAAATTCTGGATACTTTCACCAGCCTTTAAATATTCAAAAAGGTTGCTCCATTTTAAGGGGTCCAAATCCAAAAAGTAGGGAACCGCTGCCACAGCTCTAACCTGTCAAATATCAGCTTTTAATGAGACAGATGAAATGACTGACAACAAAATAAAGATAAATCCATATTTTATTCCATTCTCTGATTCCGATTTTTTCAATCCACAGCAAAAGTCATGGTGAGTCCCATCACCATCACCATTCCCAATGACAAACATTATCAGTAAAAAACAGACAACAAAATACTGGATTTACAACACAAGCTCATATCGGACGGAGTTTCATTCCAAAATAAGAACCATTTGACAAATGTTACACAAACTCTTCATCATCATTAAAGCTTGTGAGCAATTTCAACAATTTCAAACCGGTAATGTTTTGGAATGAAACTCCTCATTTACACCCAAATGGCTTGGAGCTTTTTTTAATACACAGCTTAGGGACTGAAAGTTAAACCTTTTTTTTTGGGCCTGTTGAGAAAGCCTTATGATGGTGTAAAATAAGATGTGAGTGTTCAGTGTAAATCCCCATATTTAGGCTTTGTGTCCACCAGGTATGTCTTTATAGGGAGCAGCGGGAGTCTCATGTGGGCAGCGCCAGTCATGGCTTCAGCACTCACTACAGTACAAGACTGAAAAAAAGAAACCCATTAAAGGAGCTTTTGATTGTAGTTGCAACAATTTGAACCTCTAGTGCTCAGTGTTGTAAGCGTAAAAATCATGCTAAGGCTGCCAGCGCTATGGGGAAACATGCGTCATGTGTCATTTCCACTGTAAACAACAAGGACAAGGAACTGATTTGTAGAAAATGTTCCCAGTGGACACAGAACCTCATGTAGGTACAATATACGTTCCCAATAACAGTCTCCTGCTTATGGAACAAATCTGTGGTTACTTGCAAATCACAAAAAAAAAAAAAAGATTTTGACACATTATGTAACATACCAACCCATACATGACAATATTTTCAATGAAACAAGATTAGTCTTTTTATATATATTACCAAAAGCAAAAAAATATAGAGCAATTATTTTATATTCCCTCCCTCCCAAGGGAAAAAAAACAGAAACAAAAGATGTTTCAGTAAGGGAAACATGTTAACTCTAAAGGGATTGTCACAAAAGGGCAAGTGAGGGAACTGGTTTCAGCATGGACACCATAACTGAAACATCCACACTGGTGTTTTTTAATAAAGGGAGTATTGCGAGATTTATTGTAGTTTTTGCCTTTCATCAATCATGGAAAAAAATGGATGAAAGCGTCATGTTCCCCTGATGAAAGCTGTGTTTCGGTTAATTAAATTCTCTCTATACAATTTACACAACTACGCAGAGATAACCGCTGAAAGACAATACAAGTTGGGACGTTTCATCACATATCAGACAAAAAAAAGAATTGGAAGAAAAAATAGTAACTTAAAGTTTAAAAGATAGCAGCAAATGATGTAAAGAATCAAAGGCAGCTGAAATAAACACACTTTTGTATCTGAACCAATCAAATCACAATGTGGTAACAGCGTGTAAGTCTGGCATCAGAAACAACCTGGCAACCTCAGCCCACTCTCACCCTTTTTATACAGTTTGAAAATCTTTTTCCCTCTATAAAATACATCAAGTCATGATTGCAAATCCAACTGCTGATTGCCTGGAAGGACACAAGATGGCCGCTGCAAAGTGTCACAGATGGCAAGTGCAATGAAGGCTCCTTCTGTTTCAGAGTAGTTAGGAAAATATGTGTTTAACGTCTCAACAAACATCAACTATTTCCAATTAATTTGCATGCCAATGAAGCACTTTGAACTGAAAAATGAATAATATTTCCCTCAGCTGGCACAAATGATAGTGACTAAAGACACAATGGAAGAATATTTTTCAGTAATTTTTTTTTGTAGATCCCCTTTTCTGTCTGTAATAATGAGATGAGTGACGGCGGAAGAGAAAGCCTTCATCCTCATGTCCAACACTGTGATTTTATTTGAGTGTCTGGGGGCTTTCTGGAGACTTCTGTTCCTGTGTGTGTGACTCAGTGTTAAATGTTTGCTTGCTTTCCGACTCTGTGTGCTAAATCATGAATGTGCGTCAGCTTTATGTTTCTGTCAGGGTGTGTGCGTTCATGTGTCAGCTGCTGTCCTCCAGAGCGTTGACGACTTGTTCCAAAATGTCGGGGCATCGGTCGGCGATCTGCTGCAGGACCTGATTGGCGTACTCCTGGAGCTCCGCCCCCTCACTCTCGCACAGTGCTAACTCCGCCTCCAACTGAGAGAGAGAGAAAGACACAGAGGGTGGAGATTTTAGACGTTTTGTGCACAGATATCTTGTGAAACAGCTTCTAATGTCTGTATGGTTAGTATGAAGCTGAAGCCAGAAGCTGGTTAGCTTAGCATAAAGACTGGAAAGAGAGAAAAACAGCTAGCCTGGCCAAAGGTAACAAAAACTGCATACCATATTAAAGCTCACAAATTAACAAGTTATATTATTATTGTGATTAAAAAAACACAATATCATGGGAACCTAGTGAGATTTTAAAATTGCTGTGACACAAATTTACCTTTGCACAGATCCCGGCTTTCCCCAGTTTCCAGTTTTATGCTAAGCTAAGCTAACTGGCAACTGGCTGTGGATTCATAGTCAATGAACAGAGTGGTATCAATCTTAGAATCAAACTCTTTGGAAAAAAGCAATTAAGCTTATTCCCCAAAATGTACAACTGTTCCATTAAATTCCACGTTACTATGAGAAGCAAGACGGAGAAGGGACATAAAGGAAATATATAAGAGTTTTTAAATGAATCTATTTTAAATTAAGCACAACAGGCAGAAAGA